TGTTGATGGTTGAAATGGTGACGTCATGCATTTGCGAGTCAAAATACTGCCAAAACACTAGGTCTTGGCCATCTAGTGGGAAAATATTGAGATCCAAAGAGAGACAATGCATGCCACGTGGTGAGATCATTGAAGAATGTGTCAAATTTGACAGTTGACATGGCTCTACCAAATAGGGTGAATAACCGTTTTTATAGGAAGAATATTATGGTTTGAGACTTTTAAATACGTCTGTGAATATATTAGGAATCCTTTAAGTATACTTGTATTTGCTGATTTCAAGTTGTAAATAAATTAATAGATGATTAAGTTGAGATGTTGGATTTAGACACATGAAAACTAATTCTGACACAACTTGAATTGGACACACAGATCGTTCAAAGCTTTGTAGAAAAATTAAAATTTGCTTAATTAAAAGCCTAATAGCTGTTAATTAAAACGTAATTAAGTAGTGTTCAATATTCGTTAGTGTTCTAATTCAAAGCCGTGTTGTATCCCAATACAGCTCACACAGCAAACGGAATTCGAACACGTGGATGTCATTGGTAGGTTTCCATTCTAAAGGCTTTTTATTAAATATGGCAACATTTTGTGATGTTTCATTGTTGCTGACGCCGTGACGCGTAGTGAAGTGTTTTGAGAGTCATGTGAAGGCAACAGAACTTACGTAACGCATACGTTTTTTTTATAGTTTTTCATTTCTCGATGCGTCCTTAATGTGTTGGAATATACCGCGTTTACCCTACATATTACCTAATAAAAATAGGATATTTATATTTAAGAATTTTTTCCTGTTTTCTATGATTTTTGCAAATCACCAGTAAAAATAATATTTTTACATGGGATTTTGGAAGTTTTGCCTAATATTCCAGAATCCAGATTAGGAAATTAGAGAATATAAATAATTTATTTTATTTCGGATAAGTGTAATTGTGTAAAAAAAACTTAGTATTTCAAAGTCCTGTGATTTGCTAATTTCATTATTGCTATTTCTTCTAAACTACTAAAAAATTTTTTTAAAATCTAATTAGGCTATCATCAGTAATTACTTCGGAAGTTGGTGTTGGAAAAAAAATTTGTTTGCACTCCAAACTGCAAAATCAACTGGAAGCCATAAATGGTGATAGATGAATGGGACAAAAACTTGAGTGAATTGCGTAGGAACATTGCTAGCTCATACATATGATGGCTTTTTTCTAGTTTCTTTATTGTAAAATGAAAATAGCTACCCCATTTTTGCTTGCAATATTAAAAAATCACCAGTGAAATGATAGTTTTACCAACAATTTTTGGAAAATGTTATTTAATATCTAAATATGGTACATTGATATTCATGAAAGAGGTGTTTCTGCTTGGCTGCCAGTCATGGCTAAAAAAGAATATGTAGGCAAAGGCTTCTGCAAAGGACATGTTCACCAATCATGAACGAAAGTCAGAGGATCGAAGGCGATCAGATACCACCCTAGTTCTATTCATTGACAGATGTGTGCCAAGTTTTATAATTTCTTAAATTCTTGCTAATATTAATTTGATTTACAAAATTAAATGCATTATGTAAACATGATTTGCATGGAAAAATGTTTAAAATATATTAATTAGATTTTGATATGCATTAGGAATACTTATTGAAAACCTGAATTTTTTCTATTCTTTTCTGGTGCCATCAAAGCCTTTGTATTCTGAACCTAATGTGGGATTATAAAGTGGCCTGTTGAGCAGCTCAAATTTTAAAATTTGGCCACTCTGTAAATTAGTGCCTTTGTGGTCAAAATATTGGCATCTTTCCAAGCTTTTTACCAATCTATCTTAACTGGAAATTGCTACGGTATAGTCAGATGGGGTAAGACAGGACCAAAATCACTAACAAGCATGTAGCATCTATACCATGAATAACTAAAAACCCTAAACCTATCACAAGGTGTAGTTATGCAATGGGCTTCTAAGCTACAACTCAGACTTTCTGCATACAACACAGTTTTCTGTACAGATTAAAAAAAGTGAGCCGGTCCCATCTTACCCCACTGGGGTAAGATGGGACCGGGGCTGGGGTAAGACAGGACTGATTTTTTAATCAAACAAAAATTTATGACATTCGAGCCGCGAGATTTCATACCTACTGAAATTATATGACATTAGAGCCGCGATATTTCAGACAAAAATAGGACTTTTCCAGACTAGCATGTTAGTTGTTAATTCTTTGTAGCTACCTATTTCAATTGCCCTTATACCTACTATAGGCTACTAATTTCTTGAATACTAGACCAGTGGACCTACAGGCTACATATTAATAAAAATAGCATATTTATACCTTTTTGTAAATTTTTCTAGGTACATGATTTTTGCAAATCACCTGGAAACATAATATTTTTACTTGGAATTTCTGGAAGTTTAGCCTGATAGGCTATTCGCTATTCCACATTAGGAAATTAGAGAATACCTATACCTAATTTCTAAATAGGTAGATATTAGATAATTTATTTTATTTTGAATAAGTTTAAAAAAATTATTTAAAAAATCTGTGATTTGCTAATTTCATTGTTGATATTTCTTTATACTAAAGTACTAAAAAATTTTTAAAACAAATTATTAAATTATCATCAGTAAGTAGGTACTTGGGAAGGAGTGTTAGGAAAAAAAAATTGGTTAACACTCCAAGCTGCAAAATCAAATGGAAGCCATAAATGGTGATAGATGAATGGGACAAAAACACTAGTGAAGCTATACTGAAGCAATTGTGAATTTGTGAAGGAACATTGCTAGGCTGCTAGCTCATGCATATCTATGGCTTTTTTCTAGTTTCTTTATTATAAAGTAAAAATTGCCTATTTTGCTTGCAATATTAAAAAATTACCTGTGAAATTAAAGTTTTACCCACAATTTTTGGAAAATGCCATCTAATATTTAAATTTGGTACTACATTGATATTCATGAAAGAGATGTTTCCGTTTGGCTGCCTTTCATAGCCAAAATAGAATAACTATGTATTCAATGACAGATGTGTGCCAAGTTTTATAATTTCTAGCTAATAATAATTTGATTCAAAAAATTAAATTGAATTCTGTAAACATGATCTGCATGGGAAAATGTTCAAAATATATCAATTAGATTTGGATATGCATTAGGAGTACCATACTTATTGAAAATCCCCTTCTGACGGTTCTGAGAGCAATTCTGTTCTGAACCTAATGTGGGATTAGGGTAAAGGCACCATATTCCAACACTGTGGGCCGTGGGTACTTCCAACACCCCTCAACTTTTTCCTTTATATTAAGCTTGGTCTTCGATCCACGCATGCGTAGATGGTTGAAATAGTGATGTCATACTATTGCGTGCCAGATTTCGGCAAAACACTAGGTCTAGCAGGAAAATGTTGAGATCTGCAGAGCTAAAGTCCAAGTCAACTAGTGAGAACATCGAAACATATGAAAGTTGATAGTTGACCTTGCTTTACTAAATAGTGATAAACTGTTTGTGTAGAAAGAATATTATGGTTTGAGACTTTTAAATAAGTCTGTGTTTTGAGAGTGACGAACCGTAAACCAATCAGAACTCAAGTTGCGCATACGGTGATCTATTTATAGTCATTTATTTCTTGCTATGTCCTTAAGGTGCCAGAATATGGTGTGTTAACCCTATAAACTGGCCTTTTGCGAAGCTCAAATCTTGAAATTTGGCCACTCTGTAAATCATTTCCTTTGTGGGTAAAAAAATTACCAATCTATCTTTTTACCAATCTATCTGAACTGGAAATTAGTATCCAATCCATTTGCATTTGCTGATCCTATCACAAAGAAAAAATCCAATTCTCAGCACTGCATGGATTTGCATCTGCCATCCATTTTATTTGGTGTCTATCTCTAACACAAATTATAATTTGCACTTAGTCTGAATTGTTTTTATCATTGGTGATATTAATGTAAATTGCAATATGCAGAGAAGAATGATGGTAATCATTGCCTGACTTGAATGATGAATCTACCTTGGCATCTCTGCCTTCTCTGGACTCTGGGGCAATAAATTTATCACCCTTAAGGCCTCAACCTTTGTTGTACCTTATTTTACAGTCTAAAAATTAGACATATTTTAACTTGCAGACTTTAAAATGTACACTGCCATTCAACAACTAATGTCTAAAATTACTATTTTGAAATAATTTATAAATAGATTAGGTATTTCACTATTTATGATCTATGTTTAATTTATGATTAAATGTGTCTGTAGTCCTAAGGTCTGTCAAAGAGAATTTTAAGGTCTGTATGTGAGTCCTAAAGTCTGTAACTGAGAATTTAACTCGTGCTACATTCATTTTGCATTCAACATCAGCTAAGCATCTCAAAAATTTTTCTCTTGATTTACTGGCAGAAATATCTATTGAAATACTCTCTCCTTCTCCCATGCATTTTAGCCCTGTACATTTCTGCTATTCTCATGTTGAGTCAAATAAAGTTTTCAGTTTTTCAAGTTCTATCTCACAATTGTGCTTAATACTCTCTTGTGTTAAAATCTATCTGTGTATGTTTTCTCCATTTATATTGTAATGCACAATTATATTTCTTTCTTTTCCACAGCTACAGATGTTAGCTAATTAAAAATAACCAAATCTTATCTTAAATATTTTTCACTTTAAAATATTCAAATGATTTTAAACAGCTAAGCAGCTGAAATTTATATAAGTGAACAAAGTTTTATTTGTAAATTGGCTACCAATAACTGCCTGCGCTTATGCACTGATGTTGCAAGTGTCCAGTCTTTCTTAGAGATGATGGCCAGAGGAAGGACATTTGGGCGCAGTAACGAGAGCTTCAGGTGCTCTGTTGCTGCTCTTACCCAGCCTCCTACTGCTGGGATAGCCTAGGATGCCCAATGACTTACAGCTGTGTAAGTAAATTAGGAACGATATTTATTTCTCTGACAGAAAAGTTTTATAAGTGTACCGCAAGGTACACTTATAAAACTTTTTACCTACTTGGTTACTTGTCATCATTACTTATCATCATTTACCTCCTACTGCTGGAATAGCCTAGGATGCCCAATGACTTACAGCTGTGTAAGTAAATTAGCACACAAAATGTGTGTCAATGACATTCTTCTTGTGAATGTGACTGTTTTGTGAGTCTTATTTGGCATATCATAAGACAAAATATTTGAGTCTTATTCTCATAGAACTGAAATTCTACCAATCATTGGATTACACAATATGATAAATTCAAGTAAATCCTTAGCGTGTGGTTATTTGTATGCAAATTAACTGTCGAATTTGAGTGCATAATATAAATAAATATATACACATATTCAATTATTTTTACTAGCCATTTTAGACCAAATAGGATTTGGATGTTATTTCCTAGGAATTCAATAGTTTTATTGGATTGAAACTTATTAACTTTTTAATTTTTAATGTAGCAATTTTTTATATAATCCTTTAAAGTTTTCTCCAGTAAGTCCAGAATTTCATGATAATAATAAATAAAAGCATGAATATTTAATAATGCTACAATTGTGCTATACAAACTATTATGCAAGCACTGTAATTGATTTATTTGAATTTATTTACAAGGTTTTTGTTACAGGGTGCGAGGATTGTCAGGTAGGCTACGAAGGAGACTGTGTTCATCACGGTCCATTGACGAGAGTGAAAGACGCCGATGTAGATTCACGGGCACGCAGAAGTATTCCTGGCATTTTGCAACTGAGGGACCAACAAGACTTCACTGGTGATATGCTTCTCCAATTATCTTTTTGTAATTTTTCCTTCATGAATAAATATGTTGAGTCTTGGAGATATTTTTTGCTTTTGATTTCACCCATTTTTTCACTGTTTCTTCCTTAAGAATATCATTAGTTGTGAAATTTAAATGCTGCTAATGGCATATAAATTTCTATTCATATTTGTTATCTTTTTCTTCTGTCTTATTTCAACGAAGATCATAATTTTTCTCATCTTTTCATCAGAAACATTTTCTAATGGAATAGAATCAAGTATTGCTTTATATTTGATACCCAAAATTTTGAGTATATAATACTTGTAAAGCTATGAAAACTCTACATATTCTTCTCAATCTTCTCTTAGTTATATATTTATATTTCTAATTAAGTAGGTACCTATATACATTTCCTGAGACATTCTGAGTGTGCAGAACACTACTAGCATTCATGACATTGTCAGTTAGTGACACATCTATACTAATGAAATGGACATAAAGCTAGAACAGGAATTGAAGTTAAATACTTGTTATGGTTACTAGTGTTCAAAAATTTTCTTAATTTTTTCCTTTAACAGTCATCTAGACAAAATCCTTACCATCTTCTGTCACTCAGCTTTCATGTGCTCTCCAAAATACTTTTTTGCTCTCTCAAGAACAGATTCATTTGCTTTTCTTTATAAACACATAATTACTGCAAACCACTCCACATCTGTTCTCTCATACCCTACACAATTACTCTCTCTGCCCTTCATTTTGTATCGCTTCTATGGTTATTTATCATTTTCTCTCTTAGACCTCAAATTCCAACTTTGGGTGCTCTACAGGACTTAAAAATTCCGTCATCCATGACACATAAAGCACTAATTCTCTATACTCTCATTCCCCTTGCATGCATTTATATTCCTACTCAGTATTCCATGCCTTCACACCTAACAGGTCACACATACATTCATGCTGGAGCTTGCCTTCACTTCAATGAGTAAATAGGATGAAGTGTTTATCTGTAGGGGTGGACTAATTATAATATTTTTAGATAGTTAATAATTATTGTGTCCATCTTCCCACGCTGAATTGTGTGTCAATATTCAATGCATCTTGAAATTTGTATATCAATCCTCTATCATAAATTTTGTGTTTCAATCTCCCATACTGTGTTAATCTTCTATGCTGAATTCTATTACTCAATCTTCTATCCAAAAATGTTTTTTCTAATCTACCATACTGAATGTTCAATCTCCCATGCTAAATTGTGTGTTATCCCACAGGAGTGTACGCTCGCAAAAAATTAGACAAGAGGCTGCAGTTTGGGCCGCTGCTGGCAGTGAAGGTGCTTGAAGGAACTGACAAGGCCAAGGAAGCAGCCCAACAAATATCTAATAAGTACGTTCACTTGGCTTGGTTTCTTGGCAGTGCATTGCTAGGTTCATGTACGGCCGTTGCAAAACCACATCATTTGTGAACAGTGTTTATAATTAACTAGGAATATCTATTAAAATCTTGGAGGAACAAATGGTATGCATGTATTTTTGCAAGATTCTGGAGCAGCCTGTCTAGATCTGCTTGTTAGCTGATTTTCTTCTGTTCATCTACAAGTAAAAATAAAATGTTGTTGCTACTTAAGTTATTTATGGGTATAGCAAAGTGTAGCTTTTTGGAAAAGGTTTATAGCCTTCCTTGAAGAGTTGTTTGACGTATGGTTATGGAAAGGCCGCAAATTGAATACCTACTCCTGGTTAATTTACATTATGGCTACCAGAGGAGGGCTGGTGTTGTGGATCAGTGAGGAAAGCGGAGAAAAGTTCTTTGACGAGAGTGAAAGACGCCGATGTAGATTCACGGGCACGCAGAAGTATTCCTGGCATTTTGCAACTGAGGGACCAACAAGACTTCACTGGTGATATGCTTCTCTACTTTTCTCTTTGTAGTTTTTCTTTCATCATTTTTCTCATCTTTTCCTCAGAAATAGTTTGTAAGGGACTAGAATCAAGTATTGGTTTATATTTGATAACCAAGATTTTTATTATATAAGTTTAAGTTATATATATATCTCTAATTAAGTATACATTTCCTTAAACATCTTGAGAGTACAGACCACTTGCACTCGTGACATTTTCAATTACTGACACATCCAAACTAATTAAATGGACATAAAGCTAGAACAGGAATTGAAGTTTAAACATTTGTTATGGTTATTGTTCATTAGGTACTTTTTTTTAATTATTTCCTTCAACGGTCATCTAGATAAAATTATTGCCATCTTCTTCTGTCACTCAACCTTCTTGTGCTCTCCTAACTACTTTTTACACTCTCAATAACTGCTTCATTTGCTTTCCCTTATGAACACACTATTTCTGCAAACCACTTCACACCTGTTCTTTCATACCCAATGCAATTACTCTCCCCCTCCCCTCATTTTGAATCACTTCTATGATTGTCAAGGGGAGTGTCTTGGTCCAAAATTGACAAGTTTGGCTTTTCCGGTTTTTAGTCTCATCTTAAAGCTGACATTCTGACCCATCCAACGGTACCAAAACCATTTCTGTATGTTGATTTATGCGTTCATGGCAGATTGCGAAAGGGAAAGGGTTGGTTGAATTCTTTAACATTTAACATAGGAAATGCCTCAGTGCACCTTAAATAGCTAGTCTTCATAATTTCCGCTCCAGTAACCTTTCTGCAGTCGTGTGGGATGGTTTGTGCGCCGTCGTTCTCACCATCCTTGACAGAAACTAAGCTCCAGTATCGTCTTATCTTGCATCCTTGCAACCTTGAATGCCGATTTCATGGCACCCGGGACTTTGTCGGGCTCTACTGAAAAATAGCATTTTGTAACTTGCAAGCCAATTATCTCATACAGTTTCAAAGCTACAGCAATGAGACATCTACCATTCAATTCGCAAAGAAAATATCTACAAATGGTTGCAGGCGTTTTTCTAATTTTGTTATAGCTTGGATTTTATTTTGCAAGAAGGGGGGTGGAAAGGGGTAAAATAAAAAAATTTCCAGAAAATGTACAAAAAATGCTCCCACACTCACAAAAATGGGAATTTCAAAAACGCCTGCATCAATTTGTAGATATGGTCTTTACGCATCGAATGATATGTGTCTCAATGTTGTAGCTTGAAAATCCTAGGCCCGCGGAGATTTTCTGTGGAGTGCAATTGATTCTTATCATTAATGCATGAATCGGGTCCAGCGCAAGACATATCAAAGGCGTTAAACACAATTTTTTTTTGCAAACATAAACAGTCGTATCTGTTTATATCATTTATGAAGATATAATTTTACATCGACTCGCTCGAACAACCGAAAAAAAAAACTTCCCGAAATTGAAAGATTTTGTGGTGAATTCTTTCACCATATCTCTACGGGTACACAAACTATCGCTAATGCTATTCGTACCTACACGCACGCCGTACTATCAACACTTGCCTATGACACGCAGCGCCTTATGTACACGTAGCGTCCTAAGCGCACGTGGCGGCCGATTTCTTGGCTGTGGTTGGTTGATTTAGTTTCTAAAGCCGTCAGTGATTGGCTGACGGAGTTACGAACTCACAACTATTTTTGATAGTACGTCCAAAGGTCACGACAGTTGGCATTGGGTCATATGTTATCAGATCCACTTGGTGCTTATGAATACTGTGTTCGTTTATACTTTCTTGTCATGGCACGCCACTCGCCTCGTTATATTTTATACAATCAGGGAATTTATGGTTATTATTGTCCAAAAAGTGTGACACAAAAAAAACAATTTTGCGACACCAAAAAACGACTATTGTCCAAAAAGCGTTGCACGACAAATGAGCCAATTAAATACTGATGCGCTCGCTCTTTTGCCTGACTGAGCTTGGCTAGGATGGACCCACACAAGTATTAAAAGGTGCATCACTATTTGAATCAAGTGTCACTCGTTTCTTTGAGTGTAGGTTTATGCTCGCATAAAGCCATACATGTACAGTGCATGTACGCAAGTCACATACAAGTCGCTCGCGACTGCATTTAATACCTCCATTTATTCACTCGTGAACTGCGACTGAGTCCCTAAGATATACTTTAAGTGATCCCAGTGTGTCAAAGCGGTTACCATCTTCTATATTGTATAAATGCCATCATGGTCAAGCATCACCAAAGTTTCTCTTGGTTTTATTTTATAGAAGAATGCAGTATCGTATACGTAGCTATGGCCAATTTACCGAAGTATTCCTAATTTGTACGAGCTATTTGCCATTGTTTGTTATTTTGTGCTTATTATTAACNTTCTTCTGTTCATCTACAAGTAAAAATAAAATGTTGTTGCTACTTAAGTTATTTATGGGTATAGCAAAGTGTAGCTTTTTGGAAAAGGTTTATAGCCTTCCTTGAAGAGTTGTTTGACGTATGGTTATGGAAAGGCCGCAAATTGAATACCTACTCCTGGTTAATTTACATTATGGCTACCAGAGGAGGGCTGGTGTTGTGGATCAGTGAGGAAAGCGGAGAAAAGTTCCTGCTGGACACCCGGCACGAGGAACGCACCAACTGGATGTGTTTCGTTAGAGCAGCTCAACATAAAGCGCAGCAGAATGTGGTAGCCATCCAGTACAGAGGACAGGTTTATTTTGTCACCATCAAGGTGAGGGAGTTCTATCTCTCCCTCTTGGGAGTTTTGTTCTTGTAATTACTGGAATGTTTGTGTATTTATACATGCTATTCTGTGTGGTACCTATTTATATTCTGTGTGGTATGGGCTAATTGTGAATGATGAGATACATACCTACTCGTTGGTTTTCTAATGGTAATTTTAACATATGAAATTGTCATGGTACACTACTTCTGACCCCTGGTCAAAAATTTTCTTTCTTCATCTTGCGGTACCGTAGTCCTAGTTTACAGTCTATTTTATTTCATTGCCATTGAGGTTGTTTTCTGCTAAAGTCAAATATTTGTTCCACGTTTTGTTGAACATTTCATGTCTGAAACCTCTGAAGGTAAGTTAGTAGTACACTAGGGTGTTTTTTTCTTGTTCACCAAGAATGACTACATTATGTTCTCGAAAGCAGTTTATCAACTCATTAAAATGCTATATTTTTTCAGGAGATCCCAGCTGAGTGTGAGCTGAGGGTTTGGTACTCAAAAGATTACGCGGAAAGAATGGGAACAAGCCTCTTGTCAGGTACCGTGTATGAGTTACTTTACAATCTAAATAATAACAGCTGCTGTAAAAGTTAATTTAGAGTCAGATAACCGTCTCACTAACGATCCCAACCCACAAACAAATGTTCATTCTAAAATATGACGTTCCATTTAGCTGCTCCTGATTTTGTGGCTTTTAGTCATTTGGGAATTCGGAATGAGTTTGATCGCAATTCAGACTGCTATGTGTAAAACTCACTTGTTTTACATTTTTAGCTAAACAATGTCAACGGCTAGTCAACAATTTGTTGACATTTAGTCTTCTGAGCAGAAAAAGACACTAAAGTTTAAATTATACGAGTGATGGAAACGTCCATGCCCTACTTAATGGTGCGCGATGGACCGAAGTAATTATATCATTGAAATATTGGCTGGTATCATACCGGTAGATTCTTATCTAGAAATTTCAACACTAACTCCAAATTCACCATGTTTACCAACCTAATGCTTATCAAAGATGTCCAATATTTATTTCCCACACTTGCGTCTGTTTGTTCTGGATTTGTAAATGTTAACATTTTTATGCAGAAGAGAGACAATCGTGGCAGTTTCGTACTCGAGAAAGGTTTCGTTGCCTGGGCTGTGGCGCGGTATTCAGCAGCTCCAGCAGCCTCTCCAACCATCGCTGTTCTGCAGAAGGAGGAAATGGTTCGGCAAAGTTGCTGGCAACTTCCACTACCTCGGCTGAAAGCACTCATACTTCCTTTACATCTGCTGTGTCCTCTACTTCAGGACTTGCAGCTGCTGTTGTAACCACAGCTGCTATACTGAGTAAATTTGCTTGTATTCCTAGTAGCAGGGGAGGCATTGCTCTTCGGTCAGGTAGACGAATACGAGGCCTTAGCCAGCGCTCCTTATTGTCTGGAGCAGGTGTCGGTAGAGGGAGATCATCTAAGAGGGCTTCAGCGCAAGGTGCGAGCTTGTTTGCGAGTACTGCAAGTGCGAGGCCAATTTCGCCATTAAGTTCTTTCTCAGTCGCTAGTGTTGTGCCAAGTTCGGTTTCATTGGTGAGTACGGCTCCGAGTTTAGCGTTTTCGGTGAGCTCTGGATCAGCTGAGAGTGTTAGTACTGATATTTCCGAGTCAGTCACAACCCAAGTTCCAAGTGTCTTGCAGTTGTCCAACGTTGAAAGTATATTTTTAACTGAGAACCCCCAGCCATCAACTTCTGGTGCTTCTACTGAATCAAGAAAGAAAAAACTCAAGTTTGAGGAGACTAAAGTTGAACCCACCAGTGAAAGTTTTAGGCCCAGTTCGGAAGAACATTTCACAAAAAGACTTACATCGAAAGGTGGCCCTGCCAAGAAGTTGAAGGGTTCCTCAAGTGGGAGCCGTTCAAGCTCTAAACTTGCCCCTGTGACTCCTGATGAATTTAGCTTTACTGAACCAGAGGCTGCTGATGTCAGGCATTCAGAGAGAACTTTTGAGACTTCTCATGAGGAGCTGACAAGCGAGTCTATTGCTAGTGAAATTCGTGCTCAGGTATTGCAAAGTGTTCATAGTATAAGTAGTAGCAAAGATAGTGAAAGCTTAGTTTTACCAGTGAGAGAATCGCGTTTGTCTGAAGTTCTTGAACCTGTTCCTAGTGTTGTTGCTATCGAAGAGTTTGCCAGTGTTGAAGGTGCTCTAGCTATTGAAGTTACATGTGTCTTGTCTTCTGAAGCTGATGTTGGAGATCCGTTGCTTGGACAACCTGCGGTTGCGGAATTCAGTGAACCAATCGAGTTAGCAGAGGAGCAAATTGGTGCACCAGCAACTGACGTAGCAGTTGCTGGACCATCCAGTGAAGAGGTTGGGGTAGAAGCCAGGCCAGAGGAAGTGTGTGGAGTGTGTGGGGAAATCGGACCTCATGCGTGTACGACTCGAGTGTTTGCGTGCCCCAGTTGCAATAAGACCTTTTCGTCAAGGTTCAAGCTGAGCCGTCATCAGCTCATCCACGGCAGTGAGCGCCACTACCGCTGCACCATCTGCGACAGATCATTTCACCGTAAAGACCATCTCAAGAATCACTTGCAAATCCACAAACCAACGAAGCAGTTCAAGTGTGAGAGGGAAGATTGCGGTAAGGAATATAACTCTTATATGTCCTACAGGAAGCACTGTGCCTTCCATTCTGCTGAGGAAGGAGACCTCCAGTGCAAATTCTGTTCCAAAATGTTTGATAATAAAGACGATCTCATCTATCACCTGAAGGTGCATGTGGGCACTCGAACTGTTAAAAATCCTAGCGAAAAGAAGTTTCAGTGCGATCAGTGCGACCGGAGATTTTTCACCCGCAAAGATGTGAAGCGACATCTCGTGGTGCACACGGGCACACGCGACTTTTGCTGTTCGCTCTGTCCTCAGAAGTTTGGTCGCAAGGATCACTTGGTACGGCACATCAAGAAAAGCCATGGCGTAGTGGACCTGACCCGGCTAGAGACTTTGGCTGATCCATTGGCCATCCCAGGCACCTCTGGAGGAGCTTCCGTGCCGTTGTCCCCGGGTCTTTCCTCCATGTCTACCTCTTCTGGGGAGACAACTGGGCTGCCCCCTTATATGCTACCACCTTCTCCTACTCCTCAGACGTCTTTACCATCTCCTGAACCCAGCACATCGCAGGAGTCTTCTTTACCACCATACCAGGATGTCGGTACTCCATCTTTCTCTGGGTTCATAAGCGATCCCTCGGCAGACATGAGGATTTTGGTTGGGGACCCAATCAAGGAAGAGCAAGACCTCACCGCCAGCATGACGGGACTGGGCCCCGACATATCTAACATCCTTGGTCTTTATCTGCCTTCATCAGAGGGGATCAACATGACAAGCCTCATGGAAACTTCTTCAACGTCGTCCATCGTCACCACCCATCCGTCGCACCTGGAGGATGTATCGTCTTTGGCTCTTCCGCCTGCGTATTCCGCCTCGCATTTCCAGCCCATGTCTCCCTTGACTGCTCAATTTACTTCCCCTCACACTTCGCCCACTCCTCCCGAAGAAATGGAGAGACTCTTGCCCATTGTCCCAGGAACCTCTACCACAACAACCGCGTCCACTACCCCAACCACCACCAGTCCTACAACCTTCCTACCTGGATTTGACCAAGCGTTTCCTTGACCTTTTCTGTATATTTTTTTCCTACACTTATTTTCCACTGCCAGTGCCTCTACTGTAGTTTCCTCCTGCGTTTGCCAGCAGCCAGCATGGCCGAGCGTCAGTCTTATGCTGCAGATTTGAAGGATTATTAGAACGTTGTAGGTTCCTTACCAAAAAATCGACTAAGTGTAAAGTTAGGTCTGTAAAATGATCCAAATCATTCAATTTCAATTGTTATTAGCTTTTAAATTCTAGGTTTCTGCAATTGTCTTATTGCTGCAATGCTTGAAAGGAAACCAAGTACCTGATTGGCAAATTTCTGTAGGCAAATTAGATTCCCGTGAAAGTTGCTAGAGAAGCTTCGTGTCGTAGGTGTACGACGTTATTCGCATGGTGGCTTACATTTCATGCGGCAAGATTGATGTTATAATATTTTCAACCTAGATTAAGTTTAAGTAGCGTTTATTTTCAGCTAACCTAATATTGTCGTAAGGTACTGCTACCTCTTTTAGTTGTGTAAGTGTGGAATGCCAATGATAGTACAAACAAAACAATGTGCCGAAAGTTCGAGTCTGCTGCATGCCTGCACCTCCTACAGTTTAACTACTCACTTTACTCTTTTCAAAAATACATTCTTCTGTTCATAAGAAGAACTATTTCTATTTATGTCTTCAGTCGCAAGGAATGTTCATGCTATATGAGTTCCATAAGCTCTTGTGCCTTGAAATATTTTGCAAATTATTCGTTTCTTGAATTTTATTTATCATTACAAAAAATCGATCGATAATCTTGAACTATTTCAAGATGGCTGACATATTAAGAGAGGATATTTCAACCTTGTTAACAGTTGTATGAGATTTTATGTAACCTGAAATTCAAAGACCTTCCTTCAATTTTGGTAGTGAACTTTGTCTTGAGTTGGTCTCATTGGGTTCTCACTTGGTTTATTTAAGGAAATATTCCATAAGGATCTTTGCTTTGACTCGTCTTAAGGCTCTAGTTTGTATTGCTCGATGTTCACATCGAGTTCTAAACGGGTATGCTGTAATTTTAAGAGATTAGTTGTATGATTAAATCTTGCGTCTTCTAAGAAGCGCGCAACTTTATTCTATTGCTTATAAGAGTCTTTATCTTCGAGGTTCCTAATTTTTAAGATTGTTTTCATTTGGCCTGTAATGCACATACACATCATCTTATGCTTTTGCTCCATCACTCAACATCGCTGGATGTTTCTACGTTTTTTTATTCACAAAAAAATAACCAAAAGCAACGGCAGCTTTTTTTACAATATAAATATTCGACGGTTAGCCGTTGTCCATCGTGGCATCATGCTGGAGTTTCTTTATAATAAATATATCGACCAAGTCCCGACTGTGCCGCGGATAAGAAGCACAATTATTTTAAGCATCACAAGTTATTCAAATGTTACTCGGCGTTGTTGTAATTGAAATTTGGATGCTTTTTGTAGGGGACTTCAATAATTATATTTTGTTTCTGCCCCTCCTATTGGAGCTTGCAGTGCAGCATAGACGTTAGCGATGACTAGTTTCAAGCATGAGGTTCATTTTCATCAAACTAAATCATTCCAATCAGACTGATAACCTTTTATCAGACTGTTAACCTTACATCAGACTGTTAACCTTATATCGAAGCCTTGATGCGCTGTTTATTTTTGTTTAGAGTGCATGGATTTGTCTTGCAGTAGTGCACTCTAATGCTGTCCTTACGTATCAAGTCCGTTACATGAATATTTCTGCTATTAGATTTAATTTATTACTGACATTATTGTCATTGACTGTTACCTTCAATTCTTCTGTTCAAATTCTATCCTAAAAGTGGTGTGTGTGCGTGTAAACTTATGACTTATTACTCCACTGCCGCTCTTAACGAGAATATATATATCATACTCTTTCAGATTGCTGTGAAGTGGCATCCAGCCTCTTTAGAAATAAAACCTTCTACGTTCCAGCTGAAAAAGAATAATAACTGTACTCATGTTACGCACTAACATGTGATAATAATTTTATGGCATAAAGAAATATTTAATTGAGGCTTTGCAAAGCTTCGCTTCTGTTCATCGCAAGTGTCACTGTTCCCTTTTGGCTAGTATTTATTGTTGTTGACCCTAAACAGCCAACCATTTAGTTATAACCAAGGAAATACCTCAGTTTTTCTGTTAAGTTTTACAGCGATAATATAATAAGTTAAGTTCACTCTTCAGTATCCAAAACTACAAGCTCTGTAGAGTTGTATTCATTTTAACGTGTACTGTGGTGTCAGACCCCAGGTAAACGTGTACTGTGGTATCAGACCCCCAGTTGAACGTCCACTGTGGTGTCAGACCCCAGTTGAACGTGTACTGTGGTATCAGACCCCCAGTTAAACTTGTACTGTGGTATCAGACCCCAGTTGAACTTGTACTGTGGTGTCAGACCCCAGTTGAACGTGTACTGTGGTGTCAGACCCCCAGTTAAACTTGTACTGTGGTATCAGACCCCAGTTGAACTTGTACTGTGGTGTTAGACCTCAGTTGAACGTCCACTGTGGTCTGAGACCTCACTAAACAGCCCATGTCGCACTATGGTGCGCGAGTAGCACATCTTTGTTTGCTGCTATATTCTTCTTATAGGATAATATAATTTTGTATGTTTTCCGTACATATCTTAAGGATTGCCAAACGCTTCTATCAAACGGGTGTTAGTTCGTCGTGTCTTTAAGGATATTGTTGACTTTTAAAAACTACTTGATTAAGTTCTATATTTTCGCGTGACTATTGAGATGTTAAATTTTCTGATATTTTTATGTTGTTAGATGTTACTTGAATTTTCTTGAAAATTTCCGAGCAAAGACCAAGTCTTCGCTTGCTGTACAGCATATATTTGTGGAGCATCTCTTGTGTCGTATGGTTTTGTTGCATTGAATTTTTGTCTAATAAATTTTTTTTGGTTGGCTCGTATGTATAAATTCATCTATGCTCTAGAAATTGAGGCTTGCTCCTCACGCAACATTTTTCCCAAATCAGGGACATTATTTGCATGTATTTAAGTTGAATTTTCAACCTATTCCTGGATTATCTTATTTACTATGAATGCAAACGTTCTCCGTATTTTATCTTCCCTCGTACCCTAACAAAATTTAAAATCGCCTCAGCTTCTGGTTCCAAATCAGAAGCTGCCGCGTCTGTAAATTTTCGCTGGTTAGGTATATGAATTTCCTTGTTAGGCGACACAAAGCCTAACTGTTTATTTGATGTCAAATGTTCACAAAGTAAATTCTGAATTATATCCACGTTATGTTGCTAAAATTAAGCCCGGATTATGCCGCTCTAACGATCGCACACTCTTATAAATTATTGGGTTGTCTTGTCTAAAAAGTGACGGACTTTCTGACTTACAACGCAACGGATACTCCCTTATGCCAGGCCAAACTGAGTCAGGATGACACACACTGGCTAAGACAAGGGCCAATACTTTCAAAAAAAGTTAAGAGATCGTAAGTTCATCAGCCAATCACTGACGGCCTTTCGAGCAAAATCCACCAATCATAGACAAGAAAATAGAGCGTAAGTACTTACGTTCACTTAGCGAGTTTTGAAAGTATGGCCCAAGGGCTAGAAGTGCATCGGTATTTGGACAAAGTCTCACTCATTTTTCTTAGAGTGATTAATGACGTTGCCATGCATAAACACTCAACTCGGTTACTCGTGTCAGGGCTAACATTTCGTGAGTGCGATGAAGTCTTTCGTTAAGAATTTATTTTACTGTTCAGTAACCATTGGTTGATTTTTAGACTCAGATGTCATGACGGTATTCTTGGATCTATAAAAAGGGCAATTGTTTTTTTCTATGCAGCGCAATTGTTTTTTTCTATGCAGCGCAATTGTTCTATCACGTGCAATTGATTCTTATCATTAATGCATGAATCGGTATTCACTCGTGAACTGCGACTGAGTCCCTAAGATATACTTTAAGTGATCCCAGTGTGTCAAAGCGGTTACCATCTTCTATATTGTATAAATGCCATCATGGTCAAGCATCACCAAAGTTTCTCTTGGTTTTATTTTATAGAAGAATGCAGTATCGTATACGTAGCTATGGCCAATTTACCGAAGTATTCCTAATTTGTACGAGCTATTTGCCATTGTTTGTTATTTTGTGCTTATTATTAACGTCTACTATTTCCTTCGATGGTGTAAATACTTCACGCTTTATTATTCCACTAACATTTAATTTAGTTCCTTCTTACGCGAGTTTGCCTTGAGCCTCTCGTCGTCATTGTCGTAGTGATCTTTGTCAGCCATGCCCATGCTTCTCCATAACTTGGCTAAATTACATGGTGGGATGGGTTGTAGTTTATTAATTTTTACTATATGGGAGAGGTGAGGGTTTCTCACCCTTAAAGTACATGAGTGATGAGAAAGATTATTACTGGGGTAAATTGATTATTTTTGCAACCTGTTGCGTCCAAATTTTGGGGTCATTGGAGGTTAATTGAGAAGTTGGGTTCTAATAGGGACATTATTTAAATGGCTATATTTCTTAAGGAGGGAACCTTCTTATTGTGAAATTTATAAAGGAGTGCCGATTGTAAAATTCATTCTCAAGTAACGAAGGCAAAATTGTTAAGAGAAGTAAGGAGCAACTTGCTTACTGTGAAATATTGAATTGATTGACAATCGAAATAATTAGGCTTGAGTAACAGGCTGAGATGAAAGTTTTCATTGAGGAAAACCGTAATCGTTGAACTGCGGGTCCTGGTATGGATATATTCGTGTTGATTAGCAAGCAATTACGTCATTCTTATTGTTATTATTACTCTACGAAGAGATTATCGTAACTTGTGGTATAATCAGGACTTTGGTAGCGCGCTACATATTGAAAGGACGGAGATTCTTGAAGCCATTCTGTGGATTCGTAAATTGTCAGTCTTCAGGTGGTGCGTATATGCTTTGGTTTGATTATCGTGTTTATCATTTTCATCGATATTATAATAATTGGAAAATAATGTACATTCTTTGTATGCGTTTCCTCCAGAATTCACCTATGAATGTTTATGTATGACCTTGTCCCATGTCTGCCTTACAATTCGTACGCTGAGAATGTTTTCGCAATGATCGTCCCGAGTTCACGTTAATTTATCTGGAACAATCATTCATTTTTACTTACTAATAAGGTAAGATTTATNTGTATCTGGAATAATCATTCGTTTTACTTACTAATAAGGTAAGATTTATTTACCATGTCGCAGAAAATGTTAACTTCGACGCAGAAAACTTTCTGTTGAAGCTAATGATGTTGTTCAGAGAGATGTACTTTTTTCAAAAACTTTCTTATATATTGCGGTTATTCTTCAATAAACAGTCGTAAATTTAGACGTTGAATGATACATGTATATTATTGTGTTTTGCTCGTGGCTAAAGTATTCATATAATTTTTAATTGAAGTGCTCATAATTGTTTTGCGTCCATTCGATAGTTCTATAAATTTTTGTGAAACTATCAGAGTTATATAGAGTTGCTAGTAGCTGAAAGTCAGGAAAATCGAATATTGTAATATTCACGTTCGTCTTCAGGTGCTAGGACCAACCTCGTCATTCAACAATGTTGATTGATTTTCTTGGACAAAATGTTTTCCCTTCCAGATTTTGATGTGCTTATGTCTCGTGTCAAATGAAGGCTATAGGGTTCTTCGTCTTGAGTTACAGATAAATTGTAGACGTTATTTTACAAAGATGTTTCATTGTTTTCATTGTAAGCGTGAACGGTAATGTCCGTGAGGTGAACTTCTTGATGCGTGGCAAATCAATGTTTGATATATTTTTTGATGCAACTATAATGCATTCATGCAATGAAGTCTCATAATGCTTGAGTCTTGTTCGCTGTTATGGGTGATAGATGAGTAAGGTAGTCTTGATCATTAGCTTACAGTTGCCTTCCAACATCCATCGTAGGAAACAAGGCTGTCATTTGTTTGATTTAACCCAAAATATCAACGTACCCTTTCATGCCATATCACCGTTTGTCGTCATGCAGTATAACCTGAATCTTTCGGTAATAAAATAAACATCATTTCCTATTATGGGTACGGAGTCTCTGCCAGTTTGGCGAACCAAGATTTATTGTTGTTTGCTTGCATCAGATGACTTTTAAGATTTCTTATCTGAAAAATACCGCTTTATATCTGAAATCTAGCCGGATGATTGCTGGTCTCTGTTTAGAGCCTGAGGTGAAATTTGCGTCCAATGCCAATGCGAATATCGTAGCTAAATTAACGTGTTCATTTCGTTTTGTGATTACTTACTGTCGTGCAATGTTATTTGGCTCGCTAGACTAAATTACCGTTACTGTGCTGTTCTTTGTATTTGGCTTGTTAATCTAAATTATCGTTACGGTGCTTTTATTTGGCTCGTTGATCTAAATTATCGTTACTGTGCTGCTATTTGACTCGTTGGTCTAAATTATCGTTACCGTACTGTTTGGCTCGTTAATCTACATTATCGTTACGGTGCTGCTATTTGACTTTTTGGTCTAAATTATCGTTACTGTGCTGCTATTTGACTCGTTGGTCTAAATTATCGTTACTTTGATGATTTTGGTTTGTTATTCTAAATGATCGTTACGGTGCTGATTTTTGGCTCGTGAGTCTAAATCATCATTGCGGTGCTGCTATTTGGCTCATTAATCTAAATTATCGTTCATATGCTGCTATTTAGCTCCTTATTATTAATCATCGTTGCGGTGCTGCTATTTGGCTCATTGATCTAAATTATCGTTACTGTGTGCTATTTGGCTCATTTATCTAAATCGTCCTTGTTGTGCTGTTATTTGGCTACTCTCTTATGTCTGCGGCGAAAAAACCAACTGCCAAAGCTTTCTCAAATCAAAACAAAATTTGCAATTTTTAATGAACTCTGTCACAAATTTCAGGTGCAATGCAATCACCAGAAACGAGATGACCTATGGGCATGCAGTAGCTTAGTTTCTACGAGTTTTTTTTTTATTTTTCTTCTGATTTCCTAGTTTTCATGTTTCAAATCTTCACTAATCTAATCCGAGTGAGCAACGAGAAAAGCGTTACTTTTCTGTGATAGGACTAAAAGAATAGAAGAAATATAATTGTGTGGAAAGTGTGAGTGAATTACACGTAAGTGCTTAAATGTGTATTCCGTGATTTGATTGTGGATGAGTGTTTCAATTTCATGTGATTTTCTCAACGTTCAGCCAGTCACTGCCAAGCAAGGCTGTTACATTAACATTTAAACGCGCTGTGAGTGTTAGCCGTTATAAATTAGTAGTCTTCCTATGGCTTGAGACTCTGTGAAGTTGTAAAAGTGTTTGAGGGTAACTGCTATGTAGGAAATTAAATCCTATAGTATTTCATACGGTGCTGGAATTTGCTTAAGAAATCGAATGTATCGTATCTTAACGCTGTAGATTATGTCTCGGCTTGAAAAAAAAATGTTGAAAGAGTTGCGGAACCGGTGACGTAAAAACTTTTAGGCTCTGGTACAAGTTTTTGTTAAGTTTCTTTGTGATCTTCTAATTGCCTTTACTATTTTTAAAATTGATGCCAAATGTTGTAATCCCTGTTTGTCAATGACGAGAGATTCCTCATCTTTGCTGAATTTCAGATCAATTATATCGCGGGATTGAGCTAAATTGATACGAGAATATCGCGTGACATTTGATGTGTTCTTATCTAACGTTGCATTACAGAGACAGAGAGTTAAAATTGAAACCGAAGCAGCATTTCGTTGCAGTCTTACCGTTTTCTTTGATTTTTTTGGTAATTCAGTAGATTTGGTGTCATTCGAAGACTACTGAAACCATTTACTGGGCAAATGATCAAGCTTAGTAAATGGCAAATTGAATTGACGCCTAAACAGTAACTTGAGTTAACGTCTAACTCAAGTCAAAAAATGTCTCCCAATCATCCATGTGTTGATCATCATGCCTCCCTCTATCATCACGATCATCATGCCTCCCTCTATCATCGCGCTCATCATGCCTCCCTCTATCATCACGCTCATCATGCCTCCCTCTATCATCACGCCCTCTATCATCACTATCAACATCATAGTAAAATGTTCAAATTTATCTATGAAAATAAATTTGGCATAATATGAATTACTATGCCCTCGGTCGCCATGCATAATAATTTATCAATTGTGTTTTTCAAATCCAATATTCTAATTTTTTTAGTGATTGCATGGGTTAATTTATCTTGAAATTAACTACACTTTAATACGTCTAATAAATTAATTTATCAGTAGTAGTATTTCCACATGTGCCTAGTGAGCGCTTAAATCTTGCCACCATATCTTATTTATATCTTGTCGAATCAACCGAGACTTCAACGAATGCCTTGTATTGGTTCGCAAAATTCTTGCAACTCGTGATTATTAGTGTTCATGGGATGAGTTTTCTGTCTCCAGCCATGACGCTCTCACTGAACCTTACTGTAACAGCTGAGTTACATTCTTCCCTAGGAGACCTCCGTGCAATTCAAAATTATTTAATCATGAATTAGTAAATCTTCTCTGTTACATATTATTATGATTTTCTTGGTGTCCCATAATCTTATTGGCCGTCCTAATTGGGCATGACCCTATTTCACTAGAAAGTTTCGTGTGATACTCTGGCTTTCTTTTTCCAGATAATAAATTGTGACTTGCAACAAAGCTGTTACAGTAACTTTGTTCTAACCGCTACGATAAAAATAATCTAATGCTGTGAAACTCAGCGTATGTTAGTGCAATGTTCGCGACATTCCTAATAATCGCCAAATTGTTGCCTGCATGTATTTTCGAGATATTGTTTCTAATTTCAGTCAATATTTCTACATTTTTTGTAAGTGTTAGAAGTTGCCATTGAGTATGGATTGATAAAACTACATCCTTCTTTATGATAGTCATCGAAATGCGACTCGTTTGTAATCTCTTGCCCAAATATATCTCGGGTGATCGCTCGTCAATCCTCAAAGATACTTAATAATGTATTACATCGTTTAGCCACCAACATAAACCTTGGTCTCAAAACCAAGAGAACGGTGTATTTTTTTAGGTGTAAACGGTCAAAGGTTTAAGCAAAATTTCCATGGTTAACTAGACTTTGTTTGCTAGTACGTGCATGTATATCGTAAGTTTGGTGCTCTCTTCTATGTACCCACCCTATCATGAAAATGACTGTTGCTAAATCGATCTTGATCGATGGGAAACGATGTGTTCATGCCTGAGGCCTCTGGTAAAAACGATGATCGTGATTTACCTTAAAGTATAGTCTAAATAATGCAGCTCCTTTACTTCTTTAGTCGTAAGCCTGATAAATTTGTTCACAAGTTGCCGGCAAAATGAATAATTTTAGTTTATAAATGTGACTGTTATACGAAATTCTAGTATTGAATATTGATATAAATTATAGCTTCTTTATTAGAAATTTATGACTGTTCTGCGGCTTTTTGAGATGGTCAATTTTGGGTATTATATTGAAATGTTGTATAGTGCGCATACATCAGTATGATTATTCAATACGTGTAAGTGCCTTTCGTTGACAATATGAGAAATTCTATCGTTGCTCTATTAAAATAGCGACCGCGTATTGCAATTTAATTAATTAATTATGGCTAAATAAACTATGATTAGAAGAAAATGAATGTCACTCGAGTCTCAAACTGTAATACGTATGTTTGACACTTATGTTCCGGAAGATCGTCTTAGGCGACTTCAGCCTATAAAATTTTAATTTGAAGTAGTAGGAAGCTCACTTTGAGCTGGCAATATTATTTAAACTAGTGACAATACTTGAATGGCTTAAGATATGTCGAGGGACTGAAAACGGAACTGATTTTTTAATTTAGTGCCGTATGCCATGTTCGAGAGCCTCCAAACAGCTCTGGCTCTGAGCCTTATTATGTCGAATAAAATTTTTATTACAATAATCTGCGTATTTTTTCCTGTAGATTGATAACTATGAGTCTCGTTCCTATAAGGTTAAAGACACCAGATTTAATTGACGATCTCAGTTGCACCGATGTGATTTCAGTGAGAATTCGTTTATATGAACTTGGTAAATGAGAACACGTGGTGAAATAAATCAAATTTAATTATGCTGATTTGGTGGCCTTCGTGGGGAGGGCTTCAGGAGTCCACTAATTGCAGAACTTATCATCGGCTCTAAAAGTCCTACGAACACCGGGCGAAGGGGAGACTGCAACAGTCCATCATTGGTAGAATTTATCATCTGAGAGTCTAAAGAGCGCCCTCTTGAACAGGTAGTAGTGGATGCCTCCAGCTGCAAGGGGAATTGTTCTTTAGACTGTGCATTGTTGTGCCTTATCGAAATATTTTACTGTGTGATCGAATTAAAAAATCAATTGCATTTTCAAGAATGGCAAACGGTAGTGTTTCGTGCTAATTATGTTGGGAGTTACTTAGAAAAAGAGAACTTGCATGTAATGTTCAGCTACTGTGCAAAAGATCACGCTTCAAATTTGTAGTTCAGCCTACAAATTTGAAGTAGTTCAGTTATTTGAAACGCCGTGGTAGTCTACTACCCTTAATTTTTGAGTTGGAACCATTATACTTGCCAAATTACAAATGATCGGTCCCGATAAATTGGACTTCTCATGTCACCGCTGGCGCCAAAGACGTCAAGTGAAAGTTAGTTAACTTATTTTCTATTCTGCTCACATTACTTAGAACATTCAGAATTGCGTTGCCAGCGTACATTAGGCCATCAGGGTTGTCGCGGACTCTGAACATGGAATAAATTTCGCCGCTTGCTGCGGGTCTCGAACACGCAACTCACTGCTCCTATATCCAATGTTATCAACCGCTCGGCCACCTCGACGATTGCTACCAGAACAAATCAAAGTTGCTGCTAGGACCAAACTCACAACTTCAATTTCGATGCTGCGAACTCTAACCTCTCGGTCGAGTGTGTGCATGCCACATCCTCATCCAGTTCCACTCACCGATTCTCTGGATGGAGAAGAAAGCAAGCATTGGATCGCTCCAAACATACGTATCCCCTTCATGCCACTGCTGCTGCAGCGACACTGTGTGGAAGCCGATGGACAGTGCGAGGTACGACAACATCCCCAGCGCGCTCCAGCGTACTCTCCTCACAGCTTCTTTCAGGAGTCCCATCTGCAGTCCGATTTAGGTTATAATTAGTAATTTTGAAGATTTTAATTTCACAGAAAGTTTATTATTATTGAATAACATGCAATGATGGACTACTTTTTTATTGCAACGCATTAAAGTAAAGGCATTATAAGTTCGAAATTATTGCACCCATGTATAAATATATTCTCAATATTATTCTAATATGACTTCATTATGTGAGCCCAAGCCAAGAAGTCATTTATTTTGATTACTATATTTCTTAGTTTTTTCATTGAGCCATAACTGTTACTTATGGTTTTATGATTGTATAATAATTTAGCTTCTATTTATATTAACAGTAAAGTCGAAGGTGGTATTTTGTTCCTTCTTTATGCCTGTCAAATTTCTCTATTTCAACACAGATTGCTAGACACGCCTACCTAGCCCTCACCTTCAATAGTGACGTGGAGAATGTCGCCACTGATATTAAGATGATGGAAAATATCAGGCACACGTCCTGTATTCTAGAAAAATTGAGATTTTTATTTTAGAATATTACTTTGATTACTGCCATTTTTGCTCGTATACACATCTGTATTTTCTTCGCTATTTTATATTTTTTTTTCTTTTATTGCCTAAACCCTTAAACAAAGCTTTCATGGAAATTTTCATCAGTTCTGTACATGTACTTCATTATTTTCAAGATTGCGTCTTACATGTATATTACGAGGCTGATTAGAGTAGAATGGCTGAACAGCAACACTGTAGAATTGAAGCACAAATCGAGACACAACATTACAACGGCTGTCCAGACCAGCCATTGATACTGCCTCACTCCGCTCATTGTGTCGGACATCATGTCCTATCTCCCCGACATTTAGGGCTGCTTGTCTTTATCTTTCTCCTAAAGTTATTGATAAAATTTATGAACAATAGATTTCAAACTACGTGAATTCCATAAAACCGTATGTCAAAGACATGGCATCGGAGTCAACGCTTTATAAAGAAAGCCGGGCTTGCGTTTCTTCTCATCTACGCTGGAGCTCAATTGTGATGAGTGTTTCTGAAGATTCTGGTTGTCATGGTAACAACAAACAGACTTTTCGAATCGTATCTATTTTTCCGGTAGGTGGTAGATCGCTTATTGACATTTAATCAGCACTCGTGGGGAAATATAATGTATGAGTTGCTTTTTTAACTTGTTATTTACTTATTATTGATGGCTCTTTGTGGTATTTGATTGGGGAATGTGAAGCGAGAAAAAAAATTTTCTTGCCAATAAATCCTGACAGTATAAATTAGGATACGTTACGGCATCTGTAAGCAAAATAATGCTAAATTTTAATATAAATGTATCATTGTAGTTGCTGAGAAGCGGATGGTAAATGATAACCCTAATTTGGTGCATAGAGTATTAGAGAAGAGTATAAGTGAATTATGAACAAATAAATTAGGATCTTTATATTGATCTGAAACGTAACGATGAAAGGACCACTTAAAATATTAAATATATGTGTTATCAAAATATTTTACTTCCAATATTCCCTATATGTGTCAAATTTATTAACGCGGACGGAGCAACGAACGTCACTGACGTCATAAAGTAGTGTGTAGGCAAGTCACCAGGGGTTTATTTACATGCGCCATATTGATTTTTATTAAGTTAGTATCAAAATCGGTTGTGGTGGCTGCATTTAAGGCTATAAATTATTGTGAAACTTGCTTTTTTGCAAAAAATATGAATAAATTTACTATTGAATGCACTTTGCTTAAAATTTTATCCGCCGTAGTGATGATTTTAGACCTACCTACTCTGGCCCGACTGCCGAGGCGGCGTGGGCCGAGGCCTACCTAGTGTCAACTTCTGTCAAGTGACCGAGGTCGCTACATGCCATTCGGTTTGACGAACCCTGTGAGGCTGTGACCTGTGCTGTGCAGGCCACACCGCCACAGCACAGTGCAGTATGCACTGTGGTCTGTGAGGAGAGTAGGAATTATGGGACGTCATACCGTCGACGTCGTCCGTTGGTTGAAAACTTCATTAAATCAGCATCTATCTTACAGTTACAGTAAGATAGATGTCTCGTATCTAGTTTTCTCGACTCAGGACTGAGTCAGGAGATTGATTTGATAATGCAATATCACTAGTAAAGGAATTATCAATTAATTATCAAGTAATTTAGTTGTAATGGAATTGATAACTAAATGTAAAGTCACTAAAGTGTCTGATGTTGTGATCTTCATTAAGTTCATAGCCTAGGTATCCAAATATCCAGGTAAATTTCTGGACCTAGTGGACCATGTGATATGGTCATATGGAATCCAGGTGAATGATAGTTTTAAAATACCTTGCAGGTTGCAGCTCAGCAGCAGCTGCAGCCTGCAGGCAGAGTGGAAATCTAAGATTAGAGGTTCACTTAAAAAAAAGCGTTCCGCCTTGAAAAAAAAAAACGTTCCAGGCAAGTGGCAACTAGAAACAGGTTTGCAGGTCGTCAGAAATCGGCCTCGGCATGAGCCGCGAGATTTCATACCTACTGAAATTATATGATATTAGAGCCGCGATATTTCAGACAAAAATAGGACTTTTCCAGACTAGCTTCCACCCAAGGTAGAATGCTTTCCTTAGATACAGTGCTGTGCCAGGTGACTGAGCAGACTGACTATAAATGAAAAGGAGGATCAAAAGTGGACAAACTGTTTCAATTGTATAGTCCCTCAGATTTGTTATAAAATTGTCTGAATGTCTCTTGTTTGATAGATATTCTCTATTTTTCTTCTATTTAATGGAATTTTTGAAAATTTTTCAGGCTTTTTGTGTGTAATAATCAAGTTTAAGTTAAGTATTTAGTTAACCAATACTCAACTGTAGTACTAGTACATATACCATATTTGGGGGCGGGGCTTATGGGCACAACCAATCACAGCTGGAAAGCATCCCCATCAACCAATCACAGCTTGAAAGCATCCCCAGCAACCAATCACAGCTAGAAAGCAGATAACATTACAACTCCATTAACCAATCACAGCTGGAAAGCTGGAAGTGGAAAGGGCTAAAATCAAAATCCCATAAAGGCATAAACCAATCACAGTTGAAAAGTGATAGGATATGTATAATGTATATTATACAATGGACTGGAAGTGGAAAGTTCCTGGACTTTCCAACCTTTCATGTCCTGCTTTCCAATATGCTATGTGTACTGGTTAATTTAATATCCCTCTAGAATTCCACACTGATCACTAGTAAAGGAATTATCAACTAACTAACAAGGAAATTAGTTGTAATGGAATAGTCAACTAATTTTGAACTAAATGTAAAGTGTCTGATGTAGTGATCATAGTGACTGATCTTCATAGGTAGGCTATCCAAAATCCAAATATCCATGTGAATTTCGGTATTAGTTTAGATTAAGTGCATCCAAAAAAGGGTGTTTTTTTTAATTATATGTTTTTTGGGGTGTAGATTAGGAATCTGAAATCCATTTTTGGTGGTCACTGGACACTGGTCAGCATCGGAAAACCGATTTTTATAGATATTTAAGAACATAGTGGCAAACCAGGGTTTTTTAGAATCGGTTCATTTTTAGTTTCCTCATTTAGGGTAAACGCGGTATATTCCGACATCGTAGGTAATTCTGTCACTTCTCTAGTTTGTCTTTTATATTAAGCTTTGTTTTAGTTCCATGCGTTCATTGATGGTTGAAATGGTGACGTCATACATTTGCGTGTTTAAAGGCTTTTTAATAAATATGGCAACATTTTGTGACGTTTCATTGTTGCTGACGCGTAGTGAAGTGTTTTGAGAGTCATGTGAAGGCAACAGAACTTACGTAACGCATACGTTTTTTTTATGGTTTTTCATTTCTCAATGCGTCCTTAATGTGTTGGAATATACCGCGTTTACCCTACTCAAGATTTAAACCAATTTCTTAAGTACAATAACGCTGGTATCCATGTCCATGATACTTTACTGATCTACTTATAGGACTCAAAAATGAACTTGAGGGAGAGTTTAAAAAACTCTCTACTTTGCCACTATGTTTAAGAAACAACCATAAGAGTATATGCGGCGTCACCCAGGCTAAGTTAAAAACGCTATAACTCCACAAGATTTGCATCCACAATTTAACTTGCATTTAATCTTCATCAAAAATCAGAAAACTTTTTTTGATTGGAAATGATAGATATCGATCTGGGAATGACTGTAAACCTATGTAAAACCCAAAAATTGTGCTAGGTTAGGTTAGTTTTCTATAGAAAATATATAAAAAAAATGGTTTTCCGATGCCAACCGCCAAAAACAGATTTCAGATTCTTAATCTACACCCCCAAAAACATATAATTAAAAAAAAACGCCCTTTTTTGGATGCACCTAATCTAAAATATTACCTGAATTTCTGGACCATATGAGTCTGAGATGGAATCCAGGTGAATGATAGTTTTAAAATACCTTGCAGCTCACTGAGCTCAGCAGCAGCTGCAGGTACAGGCATGAGGCAAACTGATGCAATTTTGAAAATTTTGTACTTGACACAGAAATTTTGCTGCTCCAAACTTTGAAGGTTGAATGGTAATGGGGTAAATGCGGTATATTCCGACATCGTGGGTAATTCCAACACTTCTCAACTTTTTCCTTTATATTAAGCTTTGTCTTAGTTCCATACATTTGTTGATGGTTGAAATAGTGATGTCATACTATTGCGCGCCATACTATTGCCAAAACACTAGGTCTGTGCTGTCTGGCGGGAAAATGTTATCCAAAGAGAGACTGTGAACATCAACCAGTGAGAATATCAAAAAACGTGTCAAAGTTGATAGTTGAATTTGCCCTATCAAATAGTGATAAACTGTTTGTGTAGAAAGAATATTATGGTTTGAGACTTTCAAATAAGTCTGTGAATATATTAGGAATCCTTTAAGTATACTTGTATTTGCTGATTTCAAGTGGTAAATAAATTAATAGATGATTAAGTTGTGCATTGGTTTTAGATACATAAAACCAATTCCAACACAGCTTGGAATTAGACACACACAGCTTGTTCCAAGCTGTGTCCAAATATTAAAATTTTCTTAATTAAAAGCTTAATAGCTAGCTCTTTATTAAAAGCTTATTTAAAAAATTTAAATTTTTTAATTAAGCTCATTCAGAGCTATGTCGTATTCTGATACAGCACACACAGGGCGTCGGTATTCCAACACAGGGCGTCAGAATTACAAACTAATAGTTTGAAGCGCTGTCAGAATTAGTCTCACAATATGCCATAATAAGTCACACACAGCGTCGGAATTCAGGGATTTTGTAGGTTTGAATTCTAAAGGCTTTTAATAAATATGGCAGCAGTTTGTGATGTTTCATTGTTGTTGGCGCATAGTGTGATGTTTTGAGAGTGATGTAAAGCCATCAGAACTTGAGTTGCGCATTTGGTGATATTTTTATAGCCATTCATTTCTTGCTACGTCCTTAATGTGTTGGAATATGGTGTGTTTAATGTGTTGGAATATGGTGTGTTTACCCTATCCAGATTCCAGGATACTTTACTGGTCTACTTATAGGACTCAGAAAGGAACTTGAGGGAGAGTCTAAAAAATATAACTCAGTACTCACTGCAGTGAGTGACAAAGAGCTCATTTTCTTGTCGACGAAAACTTGAGGTCATGGACGGACGGACAGACGGACATGGCAAGTACAATAGTGCATTTTTTCCATAAATGAGAAAATGCGCTAAAAACTCTCTGCTTTGCCACTATGTACAGTAGCGTAGCACAATGGTTCATTTTTGTTGAATATTAGATTGGCAATATATAATTCATTTAGCTGGAATCTTGCAGCTCCCAAAATGGCAGAAAAGCGCAATTTATTGATTGAAAAGTAGATATATTCTCAGCCTGCAGTGTGGAATTCTATATAGGTAAATATTTTGAAAAAATATATTGTTTGAAAAGATACCAGGTTACACCTTGCACCCCAGGGCTGAAAAAGTCCTATTTTTTCTGAAATATTGTGGATTTGTTGCTCTAATATATAACTTCAGTAGGTATGA